TCCCCAAAAAAATTAAGGGAATAAGCATGTGGGTTTCTTTAAGACTCCAAAATCATTGAATTTGGCAACTCAACTGCCTTAAGGGCCTTTATGTTTGAGAGGGGGGGGGGGAGAGGACAAAAATGATTTCAAGCATAATTTCAAGCATATAAGAATGTATTTGGATTGAATATATATAACTCCATATAAGAACTGTATGAGATCTATTACAAGTTTTTATATGAAAAAAAATTATTTTTAATACATGTGAATAAATTTTAATAATTAAAAGTAAAAAATAAATATTTAAAATTTTATATAAATGTAATATGTAAGATTTATATATAAATAAATCACTATTATATATATATATATATTCTTTAAAACAAATGTATTCTAACTTTAAAATCTTGACCAATATATAACCACTTAATCCCTCATGCAATAAAAAAATTATAATATGAAAATGTGTACTTAGGGGTATTTATATCCTATTCAATCCGATTAATCTACCCACATTGATCAAATCTAATAAAAAACCAAACCAAACATATAAAATTGGATTGGTTTAAATTATAAAATTTTAAAATCAATATAATTAATTTGATTTGTAGTTTTATCTCCAAACCACCCAAACTATTCAATTACAAAATAAAACCCAAGTATAAGATAACTTAATTATATAATAGAGTATATTTTTTTGTAGTATTTAAAAAAAAATTTCTTGTTTTACAAGATAATAACTCTATTAATTTAATTAAAAAATAAAAAGAAAACATTCCATATTTCCTAATTTATTTTTCCTTTTTAATCATACACTCTAATCCTAATTTTAAATTTTTAATTCATCTACAACTCTACCACTTTACCACTTGGAACTGATTTGCAACTTTTCTCTTAGAATTCTAAATTTTTAATTTGTTCCTAAAATGATATTCTCATTCTCCTAATTAAACTCTAAAAAAGCATTATTTTAAAAGTTTTAAAACTATATAAGTCTTGATATTTTACCATTTTTGAATGTTTGATTGAGGAATTTTAAATCTTGATTATGAATGCTTCTAATAAATCCTAGTGATATTTATACGAAATTTTATTCCTTTTAACAATATTAAGAAGATGAGATTAAATCATTAGTACATTAAAAAAAATATTAATTTTAACCTTTAAGAATTACTTGTATTGCACTTGAAATTTAGAATCATCTTTTATTGTCCTTGGTGCGCCCTTGGTGATGTTGATAAGAAAAATTTTTGGATCTTTTTAATCTTTAGAATTGTAAATGAGTATAATAATTTATTTATAATTTGTACATTTTATTATGTTTCTACTTACTTGGATGTTAATATGTTTTATACTTATATTTTCTACTTGATCTTAAAATTTTTGACATTATATCATACATTTAATAATGTTAAAAACTAATTCACTTAACTGAACCACACTGATCTAATTTAAATTAAATTGATATAATTATCATATAATGATAGATTGAATTAATTTTAAAATATTAAAATTTAAATCAAACCATATTGCAAACACCTTAAGCGTAACTCTTGTGTCATATTCAAAGTTTGTACTCCTTTTTTTTAACAATATATACAATAAGAAGCAATTATTTTTCTTTCTTTTTTTTTTTTTT